CGAGCCGAAGCCGGGAGCCGGGGCGCAACTGGGGCCGGGAGGACGGCGATGGGGGGCGGCCTCGCCGCCGGAGGACCGGGGCGCGTAAGGCCGGGGGCCCGGCCAGCTCCGGACCCGGACCCGCTGGGCGCGGCACCCTGAGACCCCCGCCCCCTTACCCGGCCATGGCTGCCCGCCCCGCCGCCCCTGGGCCGCCAGCCCTCTGGGCCCCGCAAGCCCCGGAGCCCCGGCGGCGGCGGCAGTGAACGGCACTCGCAGGCCTCGAAGACCCCGGCCGGTTCGGCTTGCCCACGCGTGCCCCCTTCCCGGCCTGCCCCCTCCCTTCCCCCCGCCGCCCGGGAGCCCCCTGGTACGCCGCCTCCCGCACCCCCGGCTCCCGGACGATGCTCAAGTCTCGGCTCCGCATGTTCTTGAACGAGCTGAAGCTGCTGGTGCTGACTGGCGGGGGGCGGCCCCGGGCTGAGCCGCAGCCCCGGGGGGGCGGGGGAGGCGGCTGCGGCTGGGCGCCCTTCGCCGGCTGCTCCACCCGGGACGGCGACGGAGACGAGGAGGAGTACTACGGGTCGGAGCCGCGGGCCCGGGGCCTGGCCGGCGACAAGGAGCCGCGGGCCGGACCCCCGCCTCCGCCCGCGCCGCCGCCGCCGCCGCCCCCGGGCGCGCTGGACGCGCTGTCTCTCAGCAGCAGCCTGGACAGCGGGCTCCGAACCCCTCAGTGCCGAATTTGCTTCCAAGGCCCGGAGCAGGTCAGGCCTGAGCACCGGTCGGGGAGGGGAGCGGTGGGGGCGCGCACCTGGGGCGCCCCGGGGCGGGGCCTGAGGAACCTGAGCGGGACTCGGACCCAGAGTGGGTGTAGGGCAAAGTGGGGGGCTAGCTGGAGACTCCCCGAATGCAGTTTGGGGTGGCCGGGGGTCAGGGGTCCCCAGAGAGGGGCGGGCTTTCTCCTGGGAGGGCTTGAAATCCCTCTTGCACACTTCAATTTTTGTGCGACGGGGACAGCCTTTCTCTCCTGCTTCTCTCACCCCAGGGTTTCTGCAGGCTGAGGGGCCTATTCTCCCGAGAGGGACAGCGGGGAAAGTGCTTCTGTACCCACTTTGAGGGAGGAACCAACTGATGCCCTTGCCTCATTCAGTATTTCCGTGGGGTACTTTTCTTCACTTCCCGTTCCACAACTTTCCAACCCATTCCAAAGAGTACTTTTTGCCTAAATGTTACAAAGATGTCCCTGGTTAGTGCCGGGGGGTATCTGTCATGAGAAATTATTCCCTGATTGAAGGGGGACACCCTCCACTTCCACCCCTAGGATTTCTCCCCTTTTCTGGAAACTGAGGACGGTAACCCATCCCTGTCGGCATCACATCTGGAAACTACTTTACAGTGATGGGGTAGGGGAGGACGGCATGGCTCAGAAGGTCTGAGCCTCCTGTCCCTCCAGATCCTAAGGGGTAACCTTCCATTTGGGAAGCCTTAAACAGCACTTTCCCCAAATTCTGGGAAAAGAGAAGACCCAATTTTCCCCACCCACCAATCCCTTTCCAATCCTCATCTCTTTTGGTCATGGAAGTTTACCTTGATCTCTTTTTCCTTTTCTGTTGAAGCCCTAGCCACTTGCCGTGTTTTGGGTGAAAGGCCAGGGCTTTTTTAAAAAACTGGAACAATGACTGACCTGGAGAGGAGGTTTCTCCCTGAGCGGGGAGGAGTGGGGTCGGGTAGTATAGTTGACAGGGACCCTCCTCACTCTTCCTCCAGGGGGAGCTCTTGAGCCCCTGCCGCTGCGACGGTTCCGTGCGCTGCACGCACCAGCCCTGCCTCATCCGCTGGATCAGTGAGAGGGGCTCCTGGAGCTGTGAGCTCTGCTACTTCAAGTACCAGGTCCTGGCGATCAGCACCAAGAACCCACTGCAGGTGAGGTACAAGGAGAGAATTCTCAGACTGGGGCCCTCCAGGGAACCTACCTCATCCATTTACTGTTTCCTCAAAGTCACCCTCTTCACTAATTAATCTTCTGTCTGTCCATAAATTCTCTCTCCCTTTATTTATTCACAAAGACACTTAATGGGTGCCACTTTTATTCCCGGCACTGTTCTAGGCACTAGGACAGTAAAAAAGGAAACGCTGATAACGTTGATGATGGTAATAGCCAACATGTAGTGTTTTCTGTGTCAAGCTCCTGGCATGTATTAAATCTTTTAATCTACAGAATAATTCTTTTAGTTATGTATTATTCTCCCCATTTTAAAGATGAGGATATTAATGCACAAAGAGATTTAAAGACTTGCCCAAAGTTACTCAACTGATAAGTGATAGAGTTAGAATTTGGAATTCAAACCTTGGTGGTCTGGCTTCAGAATACTTGCCTGATCTGCCTTTCTAACAGAAAAGACAAAGGGTCTCAAACAAGGTGAGAGGTGCCTCATTCTAGGTTTGATAAGAGGACAGAGAAGACAGATTGTTAATCCTGCCTGAGGGGTTTCAGGAAGGTTCCTGGGGTATCCTTCTCATAAGGGTACCCATTACCTGGCCCTCCATCTCTTTCTGTGACTTTTTGGAGTGCTTTCTCCCACACAGTGGCAGGCCATCTCCCTGACAGTCATTGAGAAGGTCCAGATTGCAGCCATAGTTCTGGGCTCTCTCTTCCTCGTCGCCAGCATCTCCTGGCTCATCTGGTCCTCACTCAGTCCTTCAGCCAAGTGGCAACGGCAGGATCTGCTCTTTCAGATCTGCTACGGCATGTACGGCTTCATGGATGTCGTTTGTATAGGTGAGGACATCTATTTTCAGGGGTAGCAATTTTCTACCCCTGGGGGTCTTTAGGGCTATGTTGGTATCTCTCCTTTCCCTGCTTCTTCCAGGCCCTTGGCAACCCTATGCCCCCACTCTGGAGAACTGCTTGCTTAAGTGTCTCTGGCCTAAGTCTGGACAGCAGTTGACCCTGGAATTCTTATCCCTCTTGCTCAGGCCTCATCGTCCACGAAGGTTCTTCTGTCTACCGTATCTTCAAGCGCTGGCAGGCAGTGAACCAGCAGTGGAAGGTCCTGAATTATGATAAGACCAAGGACATAGGAGGAGATGCAGGGGGAGGAACAGCAGGGAAGCCTGGCCCCAGGACCTCACGGACAGGCCCCCACTCTGGGGCAGCCAGCCGCCCCCCAGCTGCCCAGCGCATACGGACGCTCTTGCCTCAACGCTGTGGTTATACAATCCTCCACCTCCTAGGACAGCTACGGCCACCAGATGCCCGTTCCAGTGCCCACTCTGGCCGTGAGGTTGTCATGAGAGTCACCACGGTGTGAATCCCACTCCAGGAGTGGGGATCTTGCATCAATGCATCGGCCACAGATAAGCTGTCATGCTGCTGGAGGTCCACCTGGACAAGGTGTTTGGGGCACAGTGCTCCGACCGCTGAGGCACTCTGGGCAGCCTCAAGCTGGGGACATTGTCTGGCCTCTACTGCCCACTGGGTAGAGACACCTGGATGACATTCCAGCTCCTCACACTCATCCTGGGGCAGTCAATGGGCAGGTGGGGAGAGCAGCTTTTCTTCCCTGGAGAACCGTCCTTACCTCAGCTCCTAGGGCCTCCAGCCCCAACCCCAGCTCCACCACAGTGACTTGGTGAAAGGGGACCAATGCCAGAAGAAAGGGGGGTTATAGACCCCCATTCCCCACCCCACGGCCACAGGGCAGCTGGCAATAAGACTAGTATACCTTGACCTCCCCGTTCCCTGCATGAGGGCGGGAACCTCCCCGTGCTCCACCCCCCATTGCATGGGGGGAGGGGATAAAGAATCATTTATATGCACGTGGAGACTCCTTTCTCATCTGGGGTTTTTCTGTAAGGTGGGAGGTGTAGGGAGGTTTGTCTGCAGAAGTTGCAAATCCCAAATGCAGCAGTGGGTTCAGAGTTGGAGGTGTAACTCCCACTTGCTGGTGAATGATTCACATTGGCTGCTAGGTGGCAGTGTTCAGAGGTATCTAAGGGGAGTACCTGCCACCTTTGAGCTGTGCGATTTTAGAAAAAAAATCTCTGCTGTGGTTTTCCTGTCTACCTCATAGGGTTAGAATGAGGAGAAATGAGGGACAGGTTGAATGCCATTGCAGAGAAAATCAGTAATGGCATAAAAAGACTTCTAGGCTAGATGATGATCCATTTATTTTAAATAGTAGCTTAACAAATTCCAGAATGTGTTTCTCATTTGGAGTTGCACAGAACCTTGGAGATTTACATTGAGTGTCATAATAGCTATGGAAATATGAGGGAAATAGACATTACAAATGTGAGGAATGGTAATTGTTTGCAAGAATGAGAGCTCCTCCAGCCCCCTAAACATTGGGAGCTGGGGAAGGCTGAAGCTATCCTTCTTGCTCTGGGGATCTTGTAGGTTCTATTAATCCTTCCTAGGGAATGTGCTCACTCAGAGACAGGCATGAAATGAACTGGACACATTTGGAGTGAAACAGATTCTCCCAATGTTGTGAGTCGCCAATGCCAGTTTAAACTACTCTTTTGGCATCTCAGGTTCACAGGTCTGATCCTGGTTTGTCCCAGCTTGGTGTTAACTGGAAGGTGTGCTTGGAGGCAGCAACGTAGAGGGCTTTATAGAGATCATTTTTGGGAAGGACTGGTTAAAATGTGGGTCATCCTGAATCCTGGTCCCTTTCTCCTGAGGCTTTGGGACTCTATTATATGAATGATAGAACTATTCATCAGCAATTAAAATAATTACTTCATTCATTGCTAAAGTCAAATCCAAAGGCCTTTCCTATTATTGGTACTTCTCTCAGGGAAGGTTCTTCTCTGCCTCCTCCCTGGGGATGTTTTGAGGAAAATGCTTCTCTACTAAAGATCACATATCCTTGTCTTGGAAATGGCTTTCCTCTATTCCTCTCCAAAAGAGGGTCTTGGCCGCTGTCCATGGTGCTGGCACCTGGCCGTGCATGGGAATGTAGGAACCAAAGCTGATCATGAGTTTGAGTCTCCTGAGGTGTTGAAGTGTATCACTTCTAACCTCTGAGAGGATCAACGTGGCAAGGAGACTGGGGCTGAGCCCCTACGCTCCATATTCGCCACCTGGGAAGATAGAAGGGCCAGACTGTACAATTTGCTATGCACAGAATAGCTGGTAGGTACCAGGAGATAGCAAATCAGAGTGACTACTAGTACCATTCCTATAGATAGGGTTCAGGTAGGTATGACATGGGTGGGGTTTCCTGTGCCAAGCCTGGGGGTGCCCCATGATGTCCCCTTATGGAAGCTTAGACATACCCCAAAAACATAGGCACACACACACACAAACACCCTGTCTCCATTTCTACTCATCATAAAATCAGGATGAGTGAGACAGTACAGTCCCTTCCCTTACAGCACCATTGGACATCTTAGTATGGGGGCTGGGATTAGCAATCAGTATGATCCCTTCTCCTTCCCTTTTTCCAGGTTGAGATTCTCATCTATAAAAGGGTCATGAGAACCACTGCCCTCAAGTGAGCAATTCCATTGCCCAGTGAGAAGTATGGGTGTGCAGAATCCTCATCACTGATTGTAGAGGAAAGGGTTTTAGAGGAAGCTGGGCTTTATTCTCTCTCAAAGCTCAAATCTGCTAAAAATCAGGGCGTGTAGGTTGAAGCTGAGCTTAGTGATGGGAAAGTGGAATTGGAGACTGAGAATACAGTAGAGGAGTTGAGAGGAGGGCACCCAAACCTTGGGCTGCACAGGATCTTGGGTATACCCTGCCCTGCTGTAGGTCTTAACACAGGTACGTCAGAGGGCCTGGTGGCTAACAGTGTCTTTGGTTAGGGTGCCATGTCTAGAGAAGGGGGTTGAGGTGGTGGGAAGGAGGAGGAAGTGTGAAGTGAAATCTCTATCTACATTCAGCTAATTGGAATGGAGGTGAGCAGGAGGAAGGAGGGCAAGCCCTGACATGGGGAGGGTAATCTAGGTTACAGAGGGGCTGCGGGGAAGGTGCTGAGAGATTGATTTATATGGAAGATGAGTTAATCTGTACACACCACAGGGGGAGAACTGTGCCCAGTCTTTGGGGTGGAGTGGGGCAGAGAGTGCTGACTCGGAAATAGGTTCCCTCTGCCCATCCCCTTCTCCTGCCTTTGTGCCCCAGGGCTTCTGGCCACCCCCACATTCGGCTTTCATCCCATCTGACTTCACTTCTCTACTTATATCCCTGTCTTTCTCTAAAGGGAATTACCCTGGAGCCACTTTTCAAGAAAGGGCAGAGTGGCCATCCTAGGATGTCCTTTGGTCCTGGCAGTCCAGGTTCCAAAAGTATTTCTACCAGAGTCAGCCCCTCTGGCCACCTCTGCAAATCCCTAGCTCTCCACCCCATTTTCACTGCCTCAACCTTGCTGTTGCTTTTCACCCCCACCCCCTTAATCTCTTACAGGGAGCCAGACTTGGCTGTTCCCAGTGCAGACAGAAGAAACGTGTCTGGGTTTGTGATATAAACCACTCTGCTAGTACCTAGACCTCCCATTGTTATGGGGGTTACTCCTAGGACCTGAGAAAGTGGAGGAGAAACCAAAGTGAGAGTCTTACCTCCAGGGCTTGTGGGAAGTAAGAATGGAAGAGAAGTCAAAAAGTCAAGGATGGAACATTTTATTCTTTTATTTTAAAACTGAATATTAAAAAATTTCAATATATAAATAGAAGGCTTGTGGAAAGACAGGTCCAAAGATGTCTCTGCTTGGGAACCAAATAGTATGCAAGCCAACATAACAGCAACCAGAGAGCCAAGGAGAGTTTAAAAAATATCATAAGCCAGGCAAGGGCAGACTCACCTTCCCAGGGGCAAGATAAGGAAGGAGAGGGTTAAAGAAGGTCTGGTAAGCTGCTTACCCCTTTTGCCACAGGGTCCAGACTCAATATGAGACTCTATAGTGTGTCATCCAGTCAGGGGTAGGCCTTGACAGGACATAAAGGTCAAATAAAGCCTCATCCTTCCTTTCAGAGAGCTTACATGCAGGGGAACCAACCAGGTACAGCCCCGATGCACCACTGCTTGGCCAACAGCACCAGTGAGCACTGTGGAAGCCCCAAAGGGGCAGTGGTTGAATCTTGCCTTGACCACCCAGCATTATTAGTTAAAATCTGAGTTGGTCCTTAAAGGCTGCATATGATATGATCAGGAGAAGGGCCGAATAGGTGTTCTTGGTGTCAAGGGCATACTTCCACCTTAGGGCTACCTCAAGCATTTTGCTATTGTCATTCTAACCACTTCGGTCAGATAGACAGCCCTCAGGGGAAAGGAATATCCATTTCTTGGTCCTATGCCTAACAAGCTCCTATGATGAGAGAAAGGGTGATGATGACTGTCTCCTTCCATGGGACTATCTGTCCACAAACTGTAGATTGATGCTCTTCTCAGGTACCAGGACAGTCCGGGTCATGGGTCTGATTGGGGCAGCACCTGGCTCAGGTTGCACCTCAAAGTGGATCAAGATCTGGAAAAGGGGGGAAGAAGGCTACCATTACAAGGATCTACCATGGTGGGCTTGACTGGTAAGGGCATTCTTAGTGTTAGGATGGTCAGTGTTGGAATGGCACCTGTGGTCAGTGGATGATTTCTTGGTTAATGAAGGTAAGGGATTATGGTAGGGAGAAAGTCCAAATACCCTCACCCACACTCTCCAGACCTGTAACGGGATTGCCATATTTCAGAGGATTGGATTTACTAAGTCTTACATGTTTTCCTATGCTTGTCAGAAGAGGTCATGACATTAGAGGGTTAGAGACTCTCCTGTCTGGGAAAGATATGTCTAGGTCACTCACCTGGGCCAAAGCCATTTGCAGCTCCAGCTCTGCCAAGCGTCTCCCCATGCAGCTGCGCTTGCCAAACCCGAAGGGAAGAGATGCAAATGGGTGGGGGGCTGGGCCCTCCCCGAGCCAGCGTGCTGGATGAAAAGAATTTGGCTCTGGGAACTGGGCAGGGTCCCTTGAAGTAGCATAATGACAAAGTGTAACCAGCGTCTGGTGGGGGAGGAACACAAACTTGTCAATTTGGGCCCAGGAATGCAGGGAGGGACATGGAGAAGAGGATATGTGAACTGGGGCAATAGCAGACCCTGGTTAGTGATGGGGAAGTTTTCTAGGGCTACTTTTGGAATGCTTTCTTCACTGCCCCATTTTATCCTGTTAGAGGTATTCAGGCCAATGGGAGAGTTTGAAGGGCTTTTGGGGTGTGTTTGAGAACAGAATTGGACCCAAGATAGTGATAGATGGCTTAGCAAAGGGGGCTGGTAGACTGTACTCACATTTTTGGGGATAATATAGTCTCCCACATGAATGTCTTTGTCTGGGACACGGGAATTTCCAGGTACCACAGGGTACAGTCTAGATTGTGAACAGAAGAGGGTAACATCAAGGTGAGGCTGGGGGTATAGCTCCCCTCTCCAGCCCCACCAACTTCCAAACCCTCTTGGCCAGGAGTAGAGTATTTCCTCTACTCTTTCTCCATGTTCCCATCCACTGTCTGCTTCCTCAGGCATGCCCCAGCTTTTCTCCAGTTCTCCTCTCCTGCCCCCTCACCTCAGCACTTCCTTGACCACAGCCTTCAGCAGGGGCAGCTGGGACAGAGCAGTGGCTAGGGGGTGGGCATCAGAGCCAGGGCCCAGGGCAGCTGTGATCTCAGAGTGGAGCGCTGTCTGGACTTCTGGGTGCCGAGAGAGTTCATATAGAGCCCAGGAGAGTGTGTTGGACACCTGAGGGGACAGGTTCAGAGGTGTTGAGAGTGGGGCAGAATATGAGGCAGAATGGTGCCCAGGAGGTGCTGAGCCAAGCTGGTCTAGAGGGCCGTTGTGGATTGCCTACAGCACGCAAGAAGGCCCGAGACTGAGTAGGCTAGGCTCTGACATGGGGCACCTGGAAGGAGGCTAGGCTTGACACCTGGAAGGGCAACCTTACTGTGTCCACTCCAGCCAGTAGCAGCTCTGTCACGTTCCCCAGGATGGATGGCGCAGGCAACTCTTTCCGCAACAAGAAGTAGGTCAGGTGAGCTCCAGATCCCATGTCCGCCTCAGGCTTTGCCTGACTGCTGAGGGCTACCTCAGTCTCTCGCTGCTCCACGTGCCGCTGGGCTGAGGGGAAGGAGGTACAGGATGCCTAACTAGCCCTGAACAGCTTTATGTTCCCCATTCCCACTTCACTTCCGGGCCTTACCAAATGCAAACATCTGGTCCCAGTCTCGGCAAAGACGGTCCCAGGGTCCGGGCACGAGGCGGTGCAGCCAGTTGGGCATCGCCATGGTCAATAGCGTGGACACAAACACCGACCCCACCGCGCGGATGAAGGTCTCTGTGTCTGGGGACACCTCGGACTCCAGGCAGCCCAGGCGCGAACCCAGCAGCACCGCCGCTATGCCTGCGCGAGAGAGGGCGCTGTCAGGGCTCCAGGAGCCCCCGCCGAGTGCCTCAGGCCAGCCCGTCTCGGGACTCACCTTCTAGACCAAACTTGTAAAACTCTCCCGCTACGTCCCGAACCAGAGTGGGAGGCCCAGCTCCCCGTCCCCGCTGACGTCGTAGTCGCCGAACAAGGTCACAGACCACGTTGTTCAGGGTCCCGGCATAGCGAGCGGCCGCTTGAGGGCGGAGGAGGAGCGGGGCCAGGAGGCTGCGGAGCCTCTGCCATTCTTCGCCTTCCCTACGAGGATGCGGGGATACAGAGATGCTGAGATGCGGGGAGGGGGCGTATTAGGGCAGATGAGGTGTGAGGAGGCGGCCGGACCTGGCTGGCTGCGGGGGAGAAGGGGCGCATTCGGCCGGCATGGCCAGGAGTCGGATTGCGTTTGCTCTCTGGGGTACAGAAACCTGTCCCTGCCTGCGCCCGCCTTCCCTCCCCCTTCCTCGTTATTAATTTCCTGCCCCGGAGGGGCCTGGTTCCTGGGTAACCTGAGTCACAGAATTTTATATTTCCTCTAGATCCTGGTCCCTTTGCCCTTTCTGCCGGTTCCCAGGTTTCTACCTTCAAAAAATGAGGTGGGCAGGGGGCGAGGGCGGGGCGCCACCTGAGTTTGAGCGAAACATACTGGGGTGGAAACCCTGATCTGCCAGAAGGCTGGGGGAATCGGCCGACCTCCCTCCACACCCCCATACTGTCTCCGAACCCGCCACAAGAGAGGGATGCAGCGGGACGTCTGGGCTTTGGGGCCAGAGGACTCACGCAGTGAGCAGCCCGCAAGCTAGGTGGCGTCGGCGACGGTGCTCGGCCCAGGGTGAGAAGCGGCAGCGCTCGGGTTGGGGACCTTCCTGTCTCAGCAACTGCTCTACCAGAGTAGGGGCCGCCACATACACAGTGCGCACCGTCCCGAAGCTGGCCAACCACACCGGCCCAAAGCGCTCGGCGCCCTGCACCTAGGAAAACGGGCTCAGCGGGCACTAGAAGAGACCCGGGCCAGGAACTCCCAGCTTGGCCCATACCAACGCCAAGGGCGTTGGCTGGGCTTTGAAGGGGGAGCGTCTGTTCCTTCGCGAGTTCCCAGCTAGTGTGTGGCCCTGATGCTGCAAACCCCTTCTTCCCCTCACTTCCCATCCCTAGTAAGCTTGAGTGTGAGGGCAAAAAGGAGTTTTGCGCAAAGCAGACATTCAAGATCTCTTTAGTCACCTGGGCCGAGCCCAAGTAGAGCAATTCCTAAAGCATCCATCTCAAGCCTCGCTGAGTGAACAGGAACGCCTGCAGCTCTAAACCCAAGGCCAGCGCACTGGGAGGCACCGCGCCTTCCCGCCACCCGCCGCCCTTGTCCGGGACCAACCCGATTTTTTTGAGCGCACTCCTCTGCTGGGTGTTGGGATGGACTCCACGCCGGTGAAGCCACCGCCCCAATCCCAACTTGTCTTTTGCAGAATTCAGGAGCATCTGTTCTCACTGACCCTCCCTCCTACTTTCGGCACTAACTCTGTCCTTGCTGGTGTTGTCAAAGCCAGTTATCCCAGCATTTAGTCCCGGGAACAGCGTCCCCCTCTACCTGCAGCTCGTGTAGCCGCGACAGACCCCCCTTGCAGAAAAGTTCAGCGAGGAAGCCAGGCGTGGAGGGGCCTGGGATGTCCGCCAAGCTCCGGGGCGCTGAACCGGACCCTCGGGAACTCAATGAGGCACCTAGCTCGGGAGCACAGCGGACGCGATGGAATACTCTTGAGGCTAGCTTGAGGGTCTGGGTCATGGTCTCGTTCAGAGAACCCGCGTAAGATGATACGCTGGAGTATCTTGCCGGCTTTTCTGAGCCTCTATATAATCCTTGGGCAAGACAGCGGTGACGCCCCCCTCCAAGCTCCTCAGCCAATCCCCTCTTCAGAGTGGTCCGAGGTGGGGATTAGCACTCAGGAATGGTAGGTGGGGCTGGGGCTGCCTCCGTGGCTCCCTTGGGTCTCAGGCTGCAATGACTCTCTCGGGAGGGGTGGCCTGCCTGTTTCTCTTCCTGGGCTGATACCCTAGTCCAGCAGCCTAAAGATCTCTTTCTGGGAAGGGCTAGTGAGACTTAGGAGACCAAGACAGGGTCAGCTGGTGTTCCCACACTTCCCCAGGGAGTCAGCCCCTCTCAGGGACAATCCTCAGGAATTCCCCATCCTTCAGCACCTTCGGAAAGGGAAGAGGCACAGCTGTAGCGGTCCCCATATTCTTGGCTCCATCTGGCTGCACCTTCTCTGTATGGGAGCAGAATTTTCCTACACTAGCACACTTCCCCCTCCCCCTGTACCTGACACTGGGCAGATGGTGGGTGGGTTGATAGGTTAAAATGGATGGCTTCAGGAGCCTTCATCTTTGTTCCTGGGGGTAAGGGGGTCCTATCCTTCCAGCCATGGGAATGTAGGGCTTAAGGAGCAGAAAGGAACTTTTTGAAAAATAGAAAAGTTCAGAGATTTCTCTTGGCTCCTAGATGAAGCAAGGTCTAATGAATGCTCTGAATCTCCAGCTGATTCAGTCCCCTTTGTGGGGCTTTCTAGTCAGCAGCCCTATTCTACTTAAAGCCTCAATCCTTCAGTCTGGCTCTCTGTTTCTCACTCCCCCACCCCACCCCCATTAGGCTCTGTGCTAGCCAGTCAGCTGCTATTCTTTAAGGTCTGGAATCGAAGGTCAACATGAAAAAGGAGAGGGTCTCCACCCTCAGTCCCTCCCAGGAATTCTCTAGAGACAGCAACAATAAAGGAAGCATAGATTCCCCAGGTGGTCATCCTCAAGGAGAAGGAGGGAGAATAGGAGGAAGCACGTGATTCATATTGTAGCCTTTCCTAAGAAGTAGCAGCCACAAGCACGTGCGTATGTATATATGTTATCCCTATGGCAGTAAAGCAAACACAAGCAGATAGGTGATTTGGGTCTAGCAGGCAGTTTAGACAGCCAGTGGAGGGAGAGCAAGACCCCACAGCCTTCCAAACATCCTTTCTGGTTCAAGGTCTTTTGACATTCCCAGTCAGCTTCTTTTGCTATCAGTTGGTAGCAGAGGGCCAAGAAGTTGAGAGGAGTCCGGGGTAGCTGTGAACACCAGGGTTCTGCCCTGAGCAGATCTCCAACTTCTTCAAGAGACTGTTGCCTCTCGACCCCAGGACTCTCAGCTGGGAAAGTCCAGGGGCCTGACCTTCTTTTCAGTCCCTGGAAGATCCAAGAGTCCACCTAAGGCAAGGTAAGCAGTCAGTTGCTAGAAGGGATGGGATTGGGGGTCACTGCCTGGAGGGTGAGATCCTGTAGTCTTCGGAAAATGGCTGGAAAATTCTTTCCTCCATTGCGCAGAACTTTCTTTCCCTCCTCAGTTGAGGTGCCCAGATGTCCCACAATGGGGTCGTCACTCTGGGAAAGAAAGGGTCCAGTAAGCCCTTGCCTACTTTTTGGACTGCCACTGGCCCCAAGATGTCCATCCCATCCTGCTGGCATGGAGCCAGGTTCAACGAATGCAGAACCACTCTGAAAAGGGCCTGTATCACCGCAATTCCCCTTAGCACCCCCCAACTTACCAGCTCCTCCAGAGGCACACGCTCAAACAGGGGGTGCCCTTCAAAATGGGTGCACATCCAGTCATGTAGCTCCAGGACATCAGTTATGGTATATACCAGCCCCTGCATAGGCAAAATCACTCTGGACAGGGGCTGCATGCAATTGAGCAGCAGCATGATGGCAGAGGTGGTGTAAGTCCTAAATGCATCGCCATTGAATTCTTAGTGGAAGGTCCCTGAAAAGACCACTCACCCCACCCTCCTCCTTTCCACTCCCGACTCACTCCAATTCTCAGCACGTAGGCATATTCTGCTAGCAGTGTGGGACTGATGATTCGCCATTTGTGCTTCGTCCGCTTGAAATGTGGGTCAGGGAAGAGGAAGAACATCTTCGTCAGCTATGAGACAGACATGTACCGACAGGGCTATGAGAGCCTGGCCTCCATGCCCCACCCATCTACCAGACTAACCCACCAGCACCCCTCCCCACCTGGCCCTTGTAGAAGAAGTTAGGAAGGTGTTTCATGGCATTGCTACGGAGACAGGCGATGTTCTGGAAACCACCTCCAGGAGCTGCTCGTAGGGCCCGAATCCGGTCTTGTACATAGTCTGAGACTTTCACCCGGATCTCCAGACCAAGGATCAGCGTGTCTGGGAACAGTGGTGACAGTTCCACTGGACCAGAAATAGGAATAGAATCATCAACCTCATACTCGCAGAAAGTGCACGGGGTCAACAAAAGAATGGAAGCCTCAATCTCCAACTACCAAAATCAGGTAATGGCAAACATGGACAGAGATACCTATATGAATGATTCTATGATCGGGGAAATCAGAAAATTGTCACCAGGACTGGAAATGGGAGAGCCTGGGAAAACATGTCTTATTTGCAAGTGTTTTAGAGTTTTCACAGTGTTTCCACACATTGTTTCATTTAATCCTCATAACACTCTGTGGTAAATTGTGAAGATGAGGAAACTAAGGGTCAGAAATACCCAAGGTCACAGAACAAGAAGAGACAGAACTTGAACCAAGGTTGTCTGCCACCAAGTATTTTGGCCACATATTTCCTCTCTGTCACTGTTTCCTCTATGGGAAGATTTAAAAAATAGAGAAATGGCCTTGCATGCATGGCTGGGACAATGCAGAAAATATAAGAGAAACTGGAAAGCATGTAAGAGTGGGGCAGAAAGAATGTGTTCTGGTGAGTGGAGTAGCAGGGTTGGAATCCCTGAGAAAGCAGTTCAGGATCGCTGGCCACAGTGACTAATCTCTGACGCTTGTGCTGACCAGCTCACTGACCCGGCACCTGGCAGGTGATATGGCTCAAGTAAGGACTGGGCCCAGGAATGGGGCCAGACAAGACAATCCAAATTCTAACAGGCATGTGAGGCAACCCCCTCCCTTCTCCAGAGCAAAGGCCAAGACCCAGAGTAGAGGGAATGTGGAGGCTCTCCACACTGAAGCCACAGTATCAGCGTCTGGTCCAAAGGGGAAAGGTCAACTATGGTCCCCACCAAACCTGCTAAGGTGGCAGAATCTAGGCATTGCCTCTCTTTGCCCCAGAAAAAGGGCCAGAGTGTTACCTAACAGGCCACCATAGCCACAGCCTATGTCTGCAAACTCGACTTGGGCCTGAGCTCTCTTTTCTTTCTCATCCTTTGGGTCATCATGGCTCTGATTCTGAGTCAGTGGAGTGAAGAACTCTGGGTATAGCTCAGACCAATCCATCTCCTCTGGCTTCACAGGGCTATTGGAGAGAAGACATGAGAGAAACGAGTTGCTCATTGCAGAAGTGGTACTACGTGTGTGTGGGCGAATGGGTTAGGGTGGGAGGTAAATGGAAGGAGAATTTCTTTAAAATTCTGTAACTGTGGACCCTGTGGCCTCAAGGAGACACAGTGGAAACCACCCTTAACTCCCAGTGTGAATCACAGGCCCATCATGAGGTCCATGATTGCTGACCTGCCCATTTTCATTGCTAAGATGCTGTGATTCTGCCCAGTAGCTTTGTTTTCTGGGGCAAAAGTTCCCCTTCTCCCAGAGACTGGCTGTCTAAGGCACTGGGAGCTTACTTTGTTTATGTACTCTGTGGGAAGAGGATGGAGTAAGGTGTGGCGGGATTGTGCATATTTTTTTATTATTAAATCCGACAAACGAAACCCAAAGATATTGTCTCCATCACTCTAGTCTCTGTAACTGTTTCTCTTCCCAGACTTGTACTGCTAGCCAGACCACGGCCAGAACGCCACGCCCCCTCCCAATAAGCCAACTCCGCCCTCGGCCAAATTGCCGTGACCCTCCCTCCCCCAAACCCTAGTCACCAACCTGATCCTCTCCGGTTCTTCCTAAATGCTCCTAACCGTCCTAGCACCATGGCTTTTTCGGGTAGCTCCGAGCTGTTCTGGGAATTCCGCCTGCATTTCCTCCCCCTACCCGCACGGCCCCGCCTTCTCACTCACTAGCGCAGCGTATGGTCGGCTATCGGGTTGGAGTGGGCACGTTGCCGATAGTAGCGCTTCTGGGGCTGCGCGGCCTGGGCTCCAGCCATGATCCCCAGTCCAGGGTTTCTCCACGGAGCCCACGTGGAGGCCGCGGCCCGAGGCGCACGGCAATGACGCAATCGAGCACGCTGTGAGCCCTGCCTGCCCCTTAAAGACACAAGAGTGCTTTGGACTCTTGTGAGCGACGGCCCCTCCGCAGCGCTGATGTTCACCAGGGCTGGCAAGGCCAGACCTGGCACCGACCTCTTTCCTTAGCCCGGCCCGGGTTAACAGCCTGGTTGCAGGCATCTGTGCATCAGCAGAGGAGAGGGGTCCCGGGCCCCGCGTTCTACAGTGCAGTTAATGAATCCTCGCTCCCCTTCCCGCTCCCCAGGCCTCGCCCCAGTCGGTCCCGTCTGACCCGCGCAGTCCCGCGCGAGTCCGCTAGGGGGGGGGCTGGGGCAGCTCCTCAGTCCACCTTCAAGAATTGCACCTGGAGGTAGGAGGGCAAACCCGGGGAGGGGGGTCCCGGCGCGGCGGTGGAGCCCCGGCGATCTGCGGCCCAGGCCCCACCCCGCCTCCGCTCCGGGATCCGGGCGCGGGCCGCGGCTCCCGTGCTCTTTTGCCAGATGGCGGATTCCCGCCCTAGTCCTGAATTGGAGCCCGAGTCGGTGTTCCCGCGGGAGGTCAGGCTCTTCGCTGACTCCTACTCGGAGAAGAGCCGGTTCCGTTTCTGTGGGCACGTGCTGAGCATCACGCAGAACTTCGGGTGCCGCCTCGGGGTGGCGGCGCGCGTGTGGGAAGCGGTGAGGAGTGGGCGGCTCCGACGAGGGTCCCCGGGAAGGTCGGACCCCAACACTCTCCCATACGGAGCCACCCCGCGACAGTCTTTGTTCTCCTTTTTCTCCCATAGGGCCTGAGCCTGTGCAACTTTTTCGAAAGTCAACATGTGGATTTCCGAGGCAAGAAAGTGATCGAACTGGGCGCGGGCACGGGCATCGTGGGGATCTTGGCAGCGCTGCAGGGTGCGTCAGCTTTGCGGCGCAGAGGGCAGGAGGGACAGGGACGTGGAGAAATTGTCCTTCCTGGGTCCTTAAGAGCCGGGAATGGTTTGGGACCAGCCCAGTCCCTTCTTTTTAACAAAGTTTTTCTTTTCTTTTTTGTTTTGACAGCGTCTGATTGGCTGTCAAAGCACCCAGGGTGGCTGATTTGGGGGCAGGAAATAAAAATCGGGCTGGCCTTAGTAGGTGTTTTTCCTATCTTTTGATCTTTGTGACTGCATGGTCAATGCTGTCACTTAAAATCTGCTATGGACATGGTCTGTCAAAATGCATTTAGGGGCGTACCCTGTAGGGGGAACAACCTGCAGGTATTAAACCAAATGAGTAAGCTTTATAACTATTATGAATGTATTTTATATTTTTGAGGTTTTGATTGCTTGGGAGAAATAAGCTTAGGCATTTCTGAGAATTAGGGTCGTTTTATGGGAAGTGGGGTAAGAACTGGGCACCACAGACTTGGGAAAAGAAATGGTAAGGAAAATTTGCTTCACTTTTGTTGAAAACCAAAAACTACAAAGGGAACAATTTGTTAATTTATAATTTAATGGGGAGGCCAAACCTCACACCAAAAACACTCATTTGGAAACAGGATGTCATCTCCCTGGGAATGCAAATTAACGAGTCTGCACTCATAGGGACCCAATCGGGTCACATTAAGGGACCCAGATGGAGGCATGCATTCTTCTATTCTGGTAACCAGTGTATATTTGGAGATCCCTGTGGGGCAAAAATCATGCCAGGTATTGGGATACAACAATGAGTAAGACAGATTTCCTCTCTCCATGGAGCTTGTAGTCTAGTGGGGAAAACGATCTGGCACCAGATCTATGTGAAGTAGGCACAGAGCCGCGCTCTGGCCATAACTCCCTTGACTCCCTGGGAATCCATCAAGGAGAGAAGCTCTGTAAGATGAGGCAAACAGTGTGAACACAGCAGGTTCAGAGAGAAGGTAGGGAGCATCAACAGCAGTTGCCATGCAGGATGAATGGGTGAAAGGTGGGAAGTTATGCTAAAATGGGAAAGTATATAATATAGAAGGAAACACCTACTTGCTTTTGCTCACAGACTGCTTCTCCTCCTTTGTCCCAGTTCAACTGTCAAGTTAGAACTCTGGATGTCTTCTCATCCCTTAACCTCTCCCCTCACATCCCAACAATCAGCCAGTCCTGTGGTTCTATATCCTTAATATGTTCCCGATTGTCTACTCTTCTTCCCACCATCTTCTAGTGCAGGCCACTGCCCTCCCTTCCCTGCTTTTTCGCGAGTGTCTTCAAGCTTTCCTATGGGAAAGTTTGGCATGCCCAAACTAGATCTTATGATCTTCCTCCACCAAACCTTCTCCCGCCAACCCCAGGCTTCTCCCATCTCAGTTAATTAAACCAACACCCACACGGTGGGAAACCTAGACATCACCTTTGACGCGTCCCTTTTTCTTACCCCCATATTCATTATTCAAGTACTATTGATTTTATTCCCTAAAAAGTCTCTTGAATCCCCTCATGTTTTTCCACTAGTACTGATGGCTCCCCAGCCCAGGCCACCACCATCACGTGCCTGGACTACTACATTTAGTGAGACTTGTCTTCCTGCTCTGACTCTCTGCAGGCTCCTAGACCTCTGCCAACCACCCAGAAGTCCAAGTGGTCTTCCTTATGCAATTGTAACCCCCACCAACCCAAACTTCAAAGGCTTTTTGGTGCTCTTGGCATAGAACCTACACCCTTAGTATGGCCTCCAAGGCTCTGCCTCCCTCTCCCTGTCCTGTCCTCCTGTGCTGTTGACCTTCTGTCAGCAATTCAAGCCTCTCTTCACATTCCCTTCCTGAGAGCCTTCACACAGGCTGTACCCTGTGTCTGAAGTCCTGTAACACCTGGTGAATGCATATGCGTCTTTCAGTGCTCAGCTCAAACGTCACTTCCAAGGGAAGATGTTCTTGACCCTCCCACCCCCAGGCTAGCCTAGACCCTTCTAGTATGTGCGCAACTGCGTTGACTGGCTTCACTTTAAATTTGCTGTCACTAACCTTCAGTGAGTCTTCATTACTGTTCCTTCATCCACTTATTCTGTTTCTTACCTTCTTGCCCTTTAAACCTCCAAATGCCTCCTCCTCTATCTTCACCCTCAGCTGATGACTTTGTTTCCTATCTCAATTGATTGCCTTTATTTTCTCATAGTAAATGTCCACACGTTCATATCTGCTCACCTGTTTGTATGTGCTGCCTTCTCCTCTGTTACCATGGATAACACGCTGTATGCCTAGCTAAGGTCAAGCCCTCCACTTGTCATGAGACCCTAAACCTTCTCCTCTACTCAGACATTGTTCCAGCAACCTCCCTGCCCACTCCCAGTCTCTCCCACATTATCAGTTCTTTTCCTTTCTGGATCATCCCGTGTGTGTGCGTGTGTGTGTGTGTACTCATGCAATATGTGTATATGTATATATATATATGTATATGTATGTATATATATATAAGTATGCATATAGACATGCTTATATATATATATATATAAGTATGCATATAGACATGCTGTAATTTCTCCTATCAGGAAAAACTCTCGATCCTACATATTCTTAGAGTTAACAGCCCATTTCTCTGTTATGCTTTACAACAAAACTCAAAAGTTCATCCTGTTTATAGTTCCTCTCTTCCTGTTCTTTCCTAAATCCATTCCACACACACACCCCATGCGTCCTCTACTCCAGTTGCTCAAATCATGTGAGCATCATTTCCTAGTCCATGCTGCTAAGCATGGGAGACATTATGAACCCACCTTACCTGACTTTGCAGCATTTGACACTCCTTCCTCCTTGAAACACTTCCTTTGGTTTCCAGGGCACCGTATTTCTGGTTTCTGCCCACTTCATTGCCACTCTTCTCCATTCTCCTTTGTTGGCTCCTTTTCATCTTCACAGCAGAAAATTTGAGTGCCTTAGGCCTCAGGAGCAGTCCTTTGAAGCCCCCTCCCTTTTTTGTCTGCACTCACTCCTGAACAATCCCATAGCCTTATAGCTTTAAATGCCCTTTCTATGCTGATGACTCTAGAACCCTGCCATTTCTATCTCCAGATTTGTTTGTGTCACTTCCTTCATATTCTGTATCTTCATGTGGTTGTCTGATGGACATCTCAAACTTAATATGTCCAGAAAGAAATTCATGGTCTTCCTGTGCAATCCTGTTCCACGCAGCCTTCCTCATCTAAATGAATGGCACTTCGGTCTTCTAGTTGGTCAGGCCAGATATCTTGGAGCCATCCTCAACTTCTTTCTCTCTAATACTTCATATCCAATCTGTCAGCAAACCATGTCTACTCTACTTTCAAAATTCTTTAGGATCTGACTACTTATGGTTCAGACCATCGTCATCTCTCACCTCCGTCACTGCAGCCACCTCCTAACTAGTCTCCTTGCTTCTGACCTTGCCCCTCTGCAGCCTTTCTCATCACAGCAGCCGGAGTGATCCTTTTAGAGCATGTCAGTTTATGCCATTCTTCCATTTAAAAGTCTCCAATAGCTTCCTATCTCACTCAGACGAAAAGCCAGATTTCTCAGTCTCCTTAAAGGCTCTGGGGAGGATCCCCTTCTACATCTCCCTCATGCCCTCCGCTCTAGCCACTGGCCTCCTACCTGTTCACCAGACCTGCCAGGCACATTCCTGCCTCAAAATCTTTGCTGTTGCTAGTCCCTCCTTTGGTACATTTTAGCCTGAGAGATCCCCATGGTTTGCTCCACCACTTCCTTCAGATCTTTGCCCAAACCACCTGCCCAGTGAGGCTTTCCTTAAGCACCCAATTTACATTACATTCCCTGTCTGGTCCCTCAAGCAGTTCTTATCCTCCCTCCCTGCTTCATTCTTCCTGTGGCACTTGTTACCATCTGACACAGTGTATTTCATTTGTTTTGTTTGTGTTGTCTGGTTGTTGCCATTTGACTATAAGCCTACTGAGTAGAGAGAATCTTGTCTAACTGGTTCATTGCTGTATTCTTAGCACCTGGCATATACGCAGATAGTAAATATCAATGAATGAATAAATTCTTAGTACTTCGTGTTTCTGTAAGAGTCATGGTTATGATTCAGTAGTTCTGCAGTACCTGGTGTGTGTGTCTCTACCTCTATAATAAAAATTACAGAAGCTAAGGTTTTGTCTTGCTCACTACTCTACCTCAGAACTTAGTAGCTGCTGAATACATACATTTATTGCATGAATGAAGCTTTCTAAAGTGCTGATCTGATCATCTCCACCCTCTACTTCTACCCTTGAAACCTCGTGCCCTCAGGATCAAGCCTGGTTCTCCTGTCATGTCAGTCATTCTCTCTTTACTGTCATGTCTTGACACCTTTCTCCTGTCTTCCATGTCCTCTAAGATCCAGCCTTCATTGAATATGCCATGCTCTTTCACCACCAGCCCTTTGTACTTTCCGTTCTCAGCTTGGAAATCTCCATCTGACTAACTCCTTGTCCTTTAAGGCTCATCAGGGGCATGTATTCTGGGAGGCTTCTCAGACCCAGGCTGGCTTGTGTCAGTACATGGTGGATGCACAGCCCATCTCCCATTAGTCCTGCCCTGGCTTTTGCTGATAACTGATCATTGTGTCTTGGGCAGAGAGGTTGAAGATTAGCTCAGAGAGAATGTTGATGCTGTAGAATGTAGAGTAATGAGAATGGCAGTGGATGAGATGGAGGTTAGGGCAACCAAAAGCCAAACTGTGGACTTTGGGTCATCAAGACATTGTCCTGTAGGTCCTGAGGTCTCTAGACCTTCTGGTCAGGAGCTGAGACCCCTTGGTTGGTCCCTCTGACTTGCATTTCTCCTCTTCCTCTCTCTCAGGAGGGGATGTTACCATCACTGACCTGCCCCTGGCCCTAGAGCAGATCCAGGGCAACGTCCAGGCCAATGTGCCAGCTGGAGGCCAGGCCCAGGTCCGTGCCTTGTCCTGGGGGATTGACCAGCATGTTTTCCCTCGAGACTATGACCTGGTGCTGGGTGCTGATATCGTGTACCTGGAGCCCACCTTCCCACTGCTGCTGGGCACCCTCCAACACCTGTGTGGACCCAATGGCACCATTTACCTGGCCTCCAAGATGAGAGAGGAGCACGGGACAGAGAGCTTCTTTCAGCACCTCCTGCCCCAGCATTTCCAACTGGAGCTGGCCCAGCGCGATGAAGATGAGAATGTCAACATCTATAGGGCCAGGCACAGGGAACCAAGACCTGTTTGGCATCACTCTTCTGTTCCTCTGAACCCCTTGTCCTAATGAAAGAACTGCCATCACTTCAAAGCCATAATGAGGATCAAAAAGTATGGCTTCTCTTGCCTCTCTCTTTCTTCCTTCCCTCTTTGTTTCCACAGGTACTCCTAGGAGGTACCTGCTTGCTAGGAATCCTAGAGCTGTAACCACTAGGTTAGAGCACACAGGAAGTTCCTAGCTTCTGTGCTCAGAGAAGGAGGTTGGGAGGATACCTGGGATTTTTAGAGGGAGGGGAGGGAGGTAAATGGGATGTGAGGGCAGTGGCTGCAGAGAAGCTGTCACTGATCTCTTCCAGTCCTGTTGTAGTTTCATAGAGAAAGGATTTTTTTTGTTTTGGTCAGATTCTGAGAGAATTTTTTTTAAAGGGAAAGAAATGAGCATTAAGGATTTCTTCTGCATCTAAAGAAGTCGGGCTTTTGATGGGGCTTGGAAGGAGGAAGCCTCAGACCACTCACTTACTGCTTCCAGAGACAGTCTGGTGGGACCGTGGCTCTAACTGGGTCAAGTCCTCCCAGCCCTGTAGCTGGGGAAAGGCAGCAGAGCTGTCCCTTGGACTGTAGCTTCTTAATTTTTTTCAGAGTTGGAGACCTGATCATTAAGTACTAGTTGCTTCTCATCTTTGCTTTTTTTTTTTAGGTTTCCAAGTCCTATCAACCCTTTCTTCCTCATTTGTTTTGTCTTCACCTCTTTTCTTTTCCCACTGTGGTACTGCTGGTTGGCACTGTCTGGGGCCACGTATCACCTCTCAGCACACCTGGCCTCCAGTCTCTCCTTTTCAAGACATTTTGCAAACTTGTCATTTTCCAGAATCAGCTCTGATTAGCTTCTGGTGCCTACAGAAGTAAGGATGAGTTCCTCTGTGTAGTATTTGGTCTACCCCATGGGATCCCCAAGTGCCCTTCCACTTCATTTTCTATTGATTTCCTACATGTATTGCAATGTCTGGCCAAATGACAAATGTCTATTCTTTGTTCCCCAAGTCCACATCAAGACTCCCTGACTTCTTCCTTCTTTTTGATGATGATGATTGCCTTACTGGAAGGGCTATTTCTACCTGTCAAAATATTTGTGACTCTTAGCCTCTTGAAAAAGCCTTTCCTGAGTCTCCTGTTTGGGTGTGATTTTTTTTTGCTCTAGACTCTTCAACTGTTTGTTCATCTTATGGCTCTTACCTTGTCTTGAGTGGTCATTTGTCTGCTCTCTATTTTCTCACCCTTAGGTTACCCTGGAGGCTAGGCCAGTGGTTTACTCCTCTCTAATCCCCGGAGGCCTAGCACAATACCTGGCACACAGTAGGTGTTCAACAAATATTTTGCTCATTCAACAAATATTTACTAGGTTAGTTGGAGGGATCCACCCTACCTAGGTGACCTTGGCCAAATTTCTGAACCCATCCATCTGCCTCAGGAGTTTGTCATGAGTCATAATGGATAAAGAATCTGAAAAGTGCAGTTGAAATAAAGAAACAGTGTTAATACGTGTCTTGTATTGTTACTGATTGCAACTTTGTCTCATGGTTTACATTGCTTACCTGTGGGGGGTAACTGTCCTGTGCGATATAGGGGAGGTGAGTGTGCCCATCCAGCCGGCAGATGGCGCCATCCTTGCTCGGCGCGTTCCGGTGGAGAGGTTTGGCCCTATCGCCGCGCCGTAGGCCGTGGCCTCCGCGGAGCGCCGGCCTGCGGCCTGTAGAGCAGTCGAAGATATGTCACTGCTTCGGTCGTTGCGCCTCTGCTTGGTCGCGCGGACCGGGAGCTGCCAGGTGAGAGGTCCCAGCCCGGCAGCGACTTGCCTTCCTCCCGCGCGCCTGGAACGCAACCTTCCCTTCTTCAAAGCTGCGTTCTACTCCCCGGCCCCATCGCCGCCGCGATCCAGCCCCGTTGGCTGCCTCCCCCGCGCCCTGGGCTACACCTTCCCAAGAACGACCTCTTAGCTCCCGAGCACCTCATGCTTCCTGCTTTCTACTTACCCATGCAGGCGGGGCCCGTTCGGCTCCAGGCGCCACGGCGGTGGCACACATCTCACGCTGGGCCCGGACTGTCCTCGGCCTCCGGCAAGGAGCTCCTCGTAAAGCTGCGACGAAAAACGGGTTACTCCTTTGTAAACTGCAAGAAAGCTCTGGAGACTTGTGGCGGGGACCTCAAACAGGTGTGGGGGAGGAGGGAGTGGAAAGCAGGGCGGGGGGCTAGGGCCTCACCTCAGAATCGTAGGTAAGTGGCCCATAACAGCGGAGCCCTGGTTTAAATGACAGCCTCACTCTGAGTTGGAAGCAATTGATTCAGGACTTGGTCTCTAACGATCCCTATTCCATGCAGAACTGCTATGCTGTTTTCTGTTGCTTGGAGCGGAAAGGGCTTGTGTGAGCACTGGAGTCAGACCCACCAGGACTCAAACCGTGGTGCCCTCACACTAAACCTGTGATCTGGGACCTTACTTAAATTTAGAATGTTGTATTGTTCTTGTCTATAAAATGAAAACACTACTATCTGCCCCATAGGGTTGTTATAAAGCTAGAACGTATCCAAAACACCAGGCACAATGCTTGGTATTTGGCATTTAGTGGTAGGCTGCCAGTACTTTCATTTCTTTTAGAGAACTGAGAAAAAGAATTAGGGAACCTGAACATATTTTAGAGCCCTGTTCAGTTCTAAGTTTTGTGGCTTTGTCGTCTGCCCTTTTTCTTTTCAACTTATAGGCGGAGAGCTGGCTCCACAAGCAGGCCCAAAAGGAGGGCTGGAGCAAGGCTGCCAAGCTGAATGGGAGGAAGACTAAAGAAGGCCTGATTGGGCTGCTGAAGGAACGAAACACAGCTGTATTAGTAGAGGTTAGAATTCCAGACACCAGGAACAGCTGTCCCTTGGGTGTAAGGCTTTGTGATGGAGCCTTTACATTAATAAAGAAGAGGTGTTTGAGAAGCAGAAAAAAGTAGTTGGAATTAAGCCCATGAGACCACAGTTATTAGTTATAGACTCATTGAAGTATAGAAATGCACGGGTGTGTTGATGAGAAAAGACCTAGCAGTGTAGAATATTATCCCCCACTTTGAAAGTTCTCGTTACATCACTGCACTTTTATGAAAGACCTACATTAGTATCTGTTTTCTCTAATCAAAAGAAATCTGAAGAGGATTTTTGCTTTAACAAAAAAAACGATGAAAGGTGAAAACAGCATTTAGCATTTGTTTTGCACTGAGCCATTACAGAGGCAGCTCAGCTCGCACTTGAGCAGCAAGAGGGGCCCCACCCAGCCCTTTCCCTGGAATCTGCATTCAGGATCAGAGCATCCAGCCACTAGAGCTTTGAACCATCTGCAAACATTTGTGCTTTATCTCAGTTTATTTTAGCAAGCTGTGTCCTAAAGTATCAGAAAAGCCAAGGAGAGGTTACTGTCCAGGTCTGAGAAAGCTCAAGGATTTTTCTGTTTAAATTAGTGGTAGTTGCTTTGCTTTACCCCATAGTAGCAAATGTAGTATTCATAGGAATGTTCTGCTTGCAGACAGCAGCAGATCTGTGTTCCTAAATGTGAGTCCACTGTGGCTTACACCTTATCACTGATTGTTTTCTGGAACAGATTTTAAAGCTAGGGATTATATTAATTAGTTGATGGATAATAAGTAACTGTTTTAGGGGAGGTTTAGGGGCCACAGTTGGTGAGGGATCAGATGTGAATTAATTTAAAGTCAGAGCAGGAGATAAGCTAACAGCAAAAGTGGCTTGGAGAGAGGGGGCTGGAGAATGAGGTGACTGTGGCATGCAGCCATAGGCAGGTGGTAACTTTGTAGTAAATCCTTGAGGATATTGTGGAACCACCTACTGAATATGTAGGTTATTGCTAACTCACTGGCACAGTAGGAATTACTTCTTTTAGCTTTGGGCCTCAAGCAAGGAGAGGAACAGTAGCTTTAAAATTCTAGGGCCATTTATTTCTGTTTTGTTAAATCTGCAGCTTATTCGATCAGTACCTTGGTTTACTGTCCAACCTTAAGGCACATTTGGAAATTATCAGTCAACAGCTTATACAGCAATATTAATTTGTCCCCACAGGTAAACTGTGAGACAGATTTTGTTTCCAGAAATTTAAAATTTCAGCAGTTGGTCCAGCAAGTTGCCCTTGGAACCATGTTACATTGTCAGCACCTAAAGGATCAACTCTCCACATACAGTAAAGTGAGTTTTGGAGTTTGTGTCATTGTGAACCTCCCTACTCCCCACCAGGTCTTTGCTGTTCCTTCACACATTCTCATGCCCCACTCCTTTACTCATGTGTCTGCCTAAATGTTATATCTCTGGAGAGGATTACCCTTCCTCCTGAGCTCTATATTTTATTTTGTCTCATTAAGTCATTTTTGTCATAATGCTTATACATTACATTTTCATTTATTTATATATGTCTGTTTTCTCCACTAGATAATATGCTCATAAGGCAGAAAATCTCTTTTCACTACTGTGTCTCTGGTGAAAAAGGAGTGGGCCCAGCACTTGGTTGGGACTCATTAAGTCTGTGTTGAATGAATGAATAAATGCCAGTGGGGTAGAGTCCATCAGATCAGGTAGAGCTTTCAATTCAGAAATCTAGAATGCCTGAGGAAGAGATTTCTAAACACAGGTATTGGAGAAGGCACAATTTTTTTTTTTTTTTTTTTTT